ATCTGCGTGGCTTTAGCAAAAACTGATGCTTTTTGCAAAACAAATCCTGAGGAGACCTGTGGAAGCTTCCAAGAGGCACCGGTGTCATGTATGCAAAGGAAGAGTGAATGGAGAAAAACACTACCCGTGCCACCCTGGCATGTCCCCGTCCTCAGGAATGCAACAGTTGGCCACCCCATGGCTTATGGGCCCTTTGGCCAATCTATTTAAAGCCAGCCAGCAAGCACTGATGCTTGTGTCAGCACAAACAATAATTTGTATTAAAAAAGCAATAATACCTAGTAAGGTCTATTATTGTGGCAGTGGGTTCCAGGTAACTTTGCTTCATTTTCTGGTTCCAGGAGGGCTGTGCCAGGGTGCACCACCTCAAGACATGTCTACATTTGCAGTAGAATTATATTTAACAATTTTTTTCTTAAAATTACTAGCAGAGAAAATAAATTCAGGTGCTTCACCTGGAGCTACTATGCCCAAACCTTCGCTGAAGGGTGATTTTTGTTTACCATCCCTGCTGGATTCATTGGATCTCCAGGAAATCCAGCACTTGGAAATATTTTAATTGAAGAGCAATTGACTTGAAATGGCCCCAGATTGCTCATTTCATTTTCTTCTTTCTTTCTCTGCCAGTGAAAAAGTAACCATTGCTGTCAACATCCAAGGCCTCAGTATACTATTTGGCAACATTCGCCTTCTCTTGACAGCTTGAATACCAAGATCAAGTATTAAAAGTATGGCCTGGCTGATGAAAGTAATTAAGAGACTTCTCTCAGCCAGGAGAGTTTACTAACCTCATTTACTGCGGTAAATGGAGGAGACTTTCAGTCTCCTGTCATAAAGGGACCCTTTTTGTGTGGGTGCCCTTTCATACAGATAATGAATTACTGGAACACTTTTCTTGCTGGAATTCAGGCTGGAGCAAGGCAGGTGTCGGTTCCTGTCAGATCAATCTGTGTCAGTGGTTGTCTGAGAGGAGAAATAAGAGTGCAGCAAGGAGGGAGATGAGAACAGGGAGGTGGCACAGGCTCCAGGGGGGTATGCAGACATCTGCCCTTCCACTGGTGGGGCCTCTTCTGCAAACCATCCTTGAGCAAGGCAGAGTGGGGCTGGATTTCAGCAGAAATGGGAGCATGTGAGAAGATCAGCCTGGAATTCAAGGTGTAAGAGATCCAAGAGGATCTGCAACGTGCTTGGGAAGGATGCTGTGAGTCAGTAGACATGTAAGAGTAGGCAGGACTAACTGAAAACGGGAACCTGAAGGTGGGAGAGTGAGTGCATTTCTATGCCTGTGTCCCTGTTTTGCAAACAGCATCGCATCGGATATTGTACAAATGGCGTGTGGGAAACATTCGGCAGCGAGTTTTGCTGAGAATTGGTGATGGAGAAGACTTGTGCTGCTTCCCTTCTGAACTAAACACAGGAAGGATGCGTGGGAGTCCCACAGTAACAGAGGAAAATCAAAAGCCACTCAGTAAAGGAGGGCACAGTGATGTGATATGAGGGCTCTGTGAGCTTTGTGAGTAAACCTTCATTTTAATTTTCAAGCAAAATCCAGGCTACGTTGGGAACCCTGTGAGGGCAGAGCTTGTGCACGGGGAACTGCAAGGTGGGGTTTTCGCCTCTGAGGTTTCAGCGATGCTCGTGGTGGCTGTTCCTGTCTTTGTCATCTGCCGCCGCAAAATAGCCTTTTGTCTTGTGACAATAATCTCTGTTCTCTCCTCGCTGGATGCCCAGTGTGCCTCATTACTCTCTGTGCAGGCAGGAGCATCTCCCCTGAGAGGGCAGCTCCTGCCAGCTGGGCCGTGTGCTCCCCGTGCGTGCTGAGCTGCGCCGCCCTACCCTTGGTACAGCCTGCGAGCGTTCGTGGCAAAGTCAGACCTCACCTCTGGCACTGTGGAAAGCTTTTAGGGCAGATGTAACTGGTGAGCACAACCTGCACCACTCCCAGCCCAGACTTCTTAAGACATATGTGAACCCTTAAAGTTGTGGCCTGGGGTTTTTGAGGACCAAAACTCTCTAAGGTAAAGCACATCTCTTCTGTCTTTCTGCCCATCCGTGTTCCAGAGCTCTGCTTTTTCATACAGCAGAGGTACACTTGTGTGCATTTATGCATGTCCATGAAATCTCCATGTCCAGTGACCACAGTGTAGAGCACCACTAGGTGGCAATACAATAAACCCGGGGAATCCAGCAGCCAGACCCCCCTCACTTTCTTAACGAGTGAAATTCTGGCCACCGAAGCCTGGAGTGACACCCCCAGGAGCTCGTTTGGCCTAACTAAGCAGAAGCAGTCTCATGAGCAGTAACAGGAGTTACTGAAACACCCTCTTCTGAGGTTTAACAATTAGCCTGTAATTAACTGAAGCAGCAATTGTCATGCTACAGTCATAATGTTTAGCACAAGACACAGGGCAACCTTTTTAAAATGTGCCTCTCCTCAGTGAGGCATTACAGATATTATTTGGAATGTGTGAGGATTTTCTTTTGCTAAAAGAGTAGTTTTTGAGATTGAAAAAGACAATTATCATCCTCTAATTGGCATTCAGTGTAATGTAATCCCTTAAATGGACCCAGTGAACTCTCTGGGAGCTGGGTGGTTTCATTAAAATACTCAGCCTGGATTTACTGACATCAAGGGAAGTTCAAGCACGTCTTAAATTACTCTGTTGATTGTTATCATTGCTGTGTACATTTCTGGGCAGGCACCTGCTCAGCTCAGGGCACACATCCCTCCAAGGACAGAGGGGAAACCAAGGGCAATAAAGGTAGGACTCATCTCTTGGGGCTTTCAGGAGCCCAGTGCTCACAGGATGAGCAGGGAGCCAGGCATCCAGGATCTCTGCAAGCTCCCACTGCCCATTGCATCCAGAAAGCCACAGGTCTGGGTGTTGGAGATGGGGCTGGTTTTGCCTGTACAATTAACAATGTTTTTAGCATACAGCTAGCATGCTGTCCTCTGCAGCATCATGTCCCTACCATCAGAAACGAAGCTGTCTCTTCTGCTCCTATGTTGGTGTGTGCTTTGAAGGTCTAGAAGCACTGCTTGTTATAATTCCATAATTCCAGATAACTTTTCCTCACTTCAGGTTGGAGGTGGGGAAATGAAGGAAAAAAAAAACAAAACCCCAAAAAAAGCCCAACAAACTTGTTACCCTCCCAAAGTCCTTCCACCCATGCAGACATGGACAAGCCTTACAAAGCATGTCCCCATCCCTCCCCACCTCTCCTGCACAGAGCCAAGGTTGGGGCTCGGCCCAGTTATGTGACTGCAGCAACCCTTGTCTCAGTGACAGCTGCTGGAATAGCTGGTCCCCAGACGTGTGCAAGGATCTGGATTTAGCTTCCCCTTTTCAGAGTGTGACTGTGATTTCTCTGTGGGCATTGCCTAAAAGTAAAGCAGGGCATGGTGGCTGGTGAAAGGTAGAGCAGGCTGGGTGGGAGTGACCTCTCCCTCTGTGTGTGACCCAGGGGCTGTGCCTGGGGAAGCGCTGGCACGGCTGTCTCGGGGTGTGGCAGTTTGTTCTCCCCCTGATGTACAGAAAGGGGTCACATTCCTATTTCTGGCTGAAGGGAGTCACACCTGTCCCATGTATGTCTGTCAAATGCTCATTCTACATGTTTCAGAAGGAAAGGAAGCAATGCCCTCTGTTCCCTGTACTGGTGCTGGGCAGCAGGAGGGCAGGCAGAACACTGAGGGGGCAGTTTCCTGCCAGACTTCTTCAGTTTGGGGGGATTTCAAATGCTCCTCACTCCCAGATCAGTAGTCTGTGATACCTGTGGTTGTATGTATTTGTGCTGCAGGCTTTTTCTAAGACCTACCATAGGTATATTTTTCAGTGGCCCAAATCTCCCTGTGACAGCACAGGGATTCTTTGCAGGAAGATGGGGAGAATGGAAGGCACAAAACCCCCCTGATTCCTGACAAATTCAGTTGGTCACTGCTGCAATTGTGTATTCTCTTTATGAAAGTGTGGTCCATTGAGTTCCCACTCTAGGTTTGTTAGCAGCTTTTGGTTTTAGAGCTGTGTAATGAGTGTACAGGCTTTTAAGATATTAGCATTTAATGGAGTTGATAATTTATAGTTGATTACTTCAGAGGGAGACAAAGGCTTTTTCTTTTTTATGATCTGAATACTGATTAAGTTGAAGTGTGGGAGTACAAATCAACTTGGTTTGTATAATTGGTGATGTAACAGTGAAAATGCAAAATAAAGATATTCAAGTTAAGGTGTGATAAATGTATCCTGAGTGTTGCCTCTCTATGTTACTGCAGTTTACCTGGCTACTTGTTTAAAGTTAAAACTATTTTATATTTCTTAGTATAGGTCATGAAGGTAACCTTGGAGATAAGGAGCTAACAGCTCATCTAAATCAGTCTGTTCACAACACACTACCTCTTTCAGATTTACTGATATGCTGAAAATTACAAAGACAATTCTTTTTTACTTACTCCAGCTGTATGCATGGAGAGAGGCTATGTGGTAAACTTTTTCTGTATACTTTCCAACTGTTTAGTTATTTCCATCCTTCCTCAACTATTTTTAAGGCTCTTTTTCACAGTTCCCATCAGTCCTCCAAGAGCTCCACTTCTGCCTGAAGCTGCCAAGTCAAAGCCTCTTTTATTTTTTTCAGCATACTCAAGTCCAACAATCTTATCTTGGCTTATCACTCCTACCAGCTTTCATCCCAGCTCCCTCAAATGGAGAGCAAGAGGAAGCAGATGCTGGGACACAGAGATAAAAGAGAATAGAAGCAGGACATGTCACTAGGATTTAATGCATATTAAAAGAGGGGATTAATGCATTTTCATTTTCACGTTGCTCTGTGTGGGCATCTTACTGTACCTCTGGTGAAGTAAAGTGACCTTTAAACTTCTCGAGAGTGGACTGGGGAGAGAGCTCTGAGCACATCTCAGGGATGAAAGAACTGAGTACTGCAATATGTATCTGATGTGAGTGCAAGGCTGATTTGTTGTCTGAAGCTCTGTTTCTCCTTTTCTGCAGGGATTCCTGAAAAATGAAAAAGATAATGCATTGCTCTCAGCCATTGAAGAGTCCAGGAGGAGGGTAAGTGGGAATAAAGCACCATTTTTTCCTTAAAACAAAAACAAAAAAGGGAGACATTTGTGGAGTCCAGTTTTCTTCCCTTGAAAGGAACCAGTACTTAGTGTGTAAGAAAAAGTCGGAGTTAGCCTTCCCCTGTTCATCTCCTGTCTTTTCACCTCCAAACAAGTAGTTGTTTTGAAGATGATCTGAGCTGCAACTTGTTTTCTGATGTGAAATTCATCTGATCCTGTTTCTGAATCTGTTTATGCTTTTGGTGTCTGTCATGTTCTGGGACAATGATTTTCACAATTGAATTATGCAGTGTGGAAAAACACTTCCTGTTGTTTGTCTTAAAACTGCTTCTTGGAAATGTCATTCCATGCTTCCTAATGCTTATTGTTTCCCTCCATGTACACTTAGGGCATCAGGTTTAGAACTGAGCCTGTGTTTCTTTCAAATGATAAGAAATAGTACTTAAGCATTATTAAATTATTTTGATTACATAATTATATTGTAATTATGGAAGCATATTTAAAACTCTGTTAAAATTATTATAGTGAAGGTAAGGATGAGACATGTATCCTACCACAAAAGTATGAAGTGAATTTATATAACAAAACAAAGAAACACAAATCCTATGCTCTAGTTGCATACATGCACCTGAATTAAATGTTTGCCAAATGTCACTGCCTCTCATCAGTTCATTTATTCTAGGGAACACACTGCCCATTAATTGACAATGTCCTAACAGTGGACTGCAAAGAGATTAAAAACTTGGTCAGCCAACCAAGACGTTTGCTGCACAGAGCTATGTGAAAGAGAAAGAAGTGAGAGACACAATATAGCTTATTTTCTACTTAGAATTAGTGGAGACATTCTTATTTCCTGTCCCAGAATCCCAAGGCTGTTAGTCTCACCCCAACAATAACAGGAAAGGTAGTGAAGCATCTTCTCTGTCCTAATGCCATTGCCAAAATAAGGGTTATTGAGCTGTTTCCTTCCATGTGTTCCCAATTGAATCTGAAGACAATATAGTACATCAGCCATTTTCAAGGTAAAAGGATGGTTTTTTTCTTGGGATATGATATTTCCTATGGGCTTTCCTGAGTTACATTCCTATTGAGAGAGACTTTCTGGTTCTTTGGCACTGGTTAATTTTCCCGTAATACTTTTAACTTTTATTTTCTCCTGTTTCCCATTTAAAAGAAAAACACACTGGTAAAGACCTGAAAATGAATTATGGGCAATAAACACACATCTCTGTTAAGAACACAGTGAGTCAGACCTTTGTAGCCTCTGGGGAGGTGAAAAGCTGGTTGTCATAAGAGAAGTTAAATCTCAACAAGCCACATGGATCAGTGATGACCTGGATATATTGTGTGTGCTGTTCAGTTAAAGGAGCAAGCCTATTGATTTCCAGCCTGCTCAGATTTGTGTACTGCAGTACCATGGAAGAGACACAGTTTCCCTCTTTTACCAGCTGGAGGTGTGTGAGAGTTGTCTTAATTCCACACACACCTACTTTCCAAATCCCCCTGTACCTGAACACGAAGCCTGTTAAAATAATATGCAGCACATCATTAGCTCCTGAGGGCTGACCTAATTGATTTATGTAGCTGCTATTTTCTGTTTCATTTTTGGGCTTGTCTATTAATAGCTGAACTAGGCTGGTGGGTGTTTCTGTGTGTTCCTTAGCTCTTGTTCTTCTTCACCAACAGACTTTTGCTATGGCTGAGGAGTATCACCGAGAATCAATGCTGGTTGAATGGGAACAGGTGAAACAAAGGATTCTTCATTCTCTACTTGCATCAGGGGAAGATGCTCTCGATTTCACCCAGGAAAATGAGGTAACTGTGCCCTTCTAAACACTGTGCACAGCCGTGCATGGCATCATACACAGCTGGCACTCCAGCACTGCTGAAACCACCTCTGGGTTTTATTCTGCAGCTACAGCTGGGTGAAAATGAGAACTATCAAATCTCTAGTTTGATTCCAGAATGACAGTGACTAGCAGAATGCACTGTCTAGCAAAATATCAAACGTTTGTGATTGTCTCTACTGACTGATGGGTGCAGGCAACGGAGCTCCTATTGCTGAAGCTGTGTTTTAAGCAACATATTTGCAAGCTGGAAATTGTCACACAGGCACATATTAGGTCAGTATACCCAGGGGACAGAAAACACATCAGGGAGCTTCACCCTCAGGAAACCTTTGCACTGCTAGTGAGAGCAGTTTCTCAGGTGCAGTTGTGCTTACACATAGGTCTTAGAGTGCTCTCTTTCCCTTATCACTGTGTGCTAGCCAGGATTTCTGGATTTTCTTAGGAGGCTGATGAAGTCTCACAGGTTTTTTTGGCAAAACCAAACTAATAATCGAAAAAAAAAAGCTTTCCTTATTATCTTGCTGTCTCATGCAGAGCGGATTAGAATTTTGTGCTACTAAGACCTCTAGTGTTCATCAGTTCAAGTTTAATCCAGTAGTTACCAAATCCTTTGGGCAAGACTAACCCCATGTTTTACATGAGGAGGTATTGACTAGCATCTTAAAACATTCCTTATCTTCTGTAACAACTTCTTTAACAAACTTTACAGTTTGTTCTTGTAAGGAAAATGCTCCAGTTCAATGGATGGAGTAAAGCAGAGTTATGTGCAGAGCTGTGGGAACTTCCCCTCTCTGATCTGGAAGCATCAGGCAGCAGCTGCAATCCCTGGAGCACAAAGTTACATCACAGCCCCTGCACAGAGCTCCATGGAAATGCTCACCTTGACAGCAGAGGTGATAAAGAAAGGGGGGAATGCAAGTTGCTGTGCTTTCAGGCCAGAAAACAGACCCATTTTTTTATAGCTATGTTCTGCACCCATGAAAATGAATTCTTGTTCATTGCAATGACTTACAGACCTGCAAGTGTATTAAAATAAAAAAAGCCCTTGGTGCTAATGGGGTATGACCTGTATAGGGATTTGGAAATAATTAGTTGTTAATGGAATGTCCCTTTCTGATTACTGTTCTTTTAAATATAGGTTAATCCCAGTTAGCATACATCTTTTTATAGAGGCTGTCTTCCCCAGAAAGTATTTTACTCATACTTTACTGTGACTTCTCAAAGGTTGTCCAGCTTTCCAATATTAGCAATGCTAAATAATGCAGACTGAATTAATTTAAAACCAGGAACAGACCGTGTTATTTTGGGCTGTGAGTCTGAAAACTTGGCAGCTGCACTGATAGCTTCTAACATCTTTGCTTATAACCCACTCTGAACAGGTGAAGCACCTTTTCTGGTGTTTCAGTGTCAAGGGGATGCTGCCTCTAGTCCATGGCACTCCAGATGCCAAGCATCAAATTGGTGGAAGGGAGGAGGGGAAAAAACCCACCTCCTAATGTTTTTCATGACTGAGTTTAAAGACTCAATGTACACCATCACTCAGTAATACTCCACTCTCCCTTTCAAAGCACTCATAGTATCAGTATATCATTTCAAGAACATTTAAAATCCTTGATATATTCTAGTCTTAGCCTCAAGGAGTCAAAGGTCTGAGAGGTTTTGAAGTGCATCTACTGTGTTAAAAGCCTGTTATCTAACCTCCCCACAGCAGGTTGTTCTTCTAAAGCCTTGTTCCAGTCAAATAAGTTTTTTGTGTGTGTGTGACACAAACAGACACAGCCTGTAGAATATAGTAGAGGTTTAATTGATATCCTCTGGAGATGGAGAATCAACTGAAAAGGCACAGATCCAAAGGCAGCAGGGGGCCGGTCTGCCTGCGAGCCAATTCTCAAGCTTTGGGCAAGCTAATTTGGGCAGAGTGAAATACCAACACATTATTCATGGAAATCAGACCAATTAAGGGGCAAAGCTCACAATTCAAAGGACCCAGCACAGGACTTGCCATTAGGGCTTTCTCCCCCTTGTCCTCCAGCCTGGCCTTCTTCCCATCGGGGAAAGCCAGAGTTGGTAAAAAGGTGCTTCTTGGCAAGGGGGAAAGGGAGGAAAGCCTAAGGTTTTGTTTTCAAGGTATCAAACACCTGTGCTCTCAAGGTGTTTGTTGTGAGTCTTGTGCCACTAGGTGCCGAGGCATTTCTTTTGGCCTTTTATTTCAAGTTTTAATTTCTTCCACGCTTGCCCCAAGCTCTTCCACTCCTGCTGTCAAGCACCACACTGGTGCAGTAACAAAGAGACACTGGTGCTCTTGTTTTCTCTTCTGCCCCTCTGTACCATGTCTTCATGTCCCTTAAATCCCAAGGACTGCAAGATGCTTTCTGCTCCACCACAGTGTATTTTGATGGGGCTTCTCCAGCTCAGTCTCCTGCCTAGTTATTCCCTGCATCTACTGGCCAAGCCACTTGGAGTGCTGACAAAATGTCTGCCCAGACTTCTGCTGAGGAATGTGCATATGCATATGAGGGTGATGAATAATGCATCTTTGCATGCAGGAGGTTTGGTGTGCAAGTGAGGCTGAATGCTTGGCTGAGTACAAATGAAGGAGGACTCCTTTGAAAACCAGCCTCGTTAGGCTAAGTGAATTTAAAAGATAAAAATGTGATGGCAGTGCAGCATAGCTCCAGCTTTCAGAAATGGATAATAGTCAGAATAAATATTAAGGTTCTGAAGAATGTTTTGGAAAGACCTAAATTCAGGGCAGGGAAAAGCAAAGATGTTTGAGAAAAACAGCACAAGCCATTTAAGGAATATCAGACTAGAGATGCAGAAAGGTATATGTGTGTGTGCACTTGTGCTTCCACAGTCCTTTGTGCATTCCCCACTTTTCTGTTTTTCCTTTTGCTGCTCCAGTTAAACTTGAAAACCTGACCTGAAGCACGATTCTTCTCCTGTGCTCCCAGCTGCTGATTTCAGCACATCTTTGTTATCTTTTCCTTGTTTGAACACTTGGTAAGTTCTGACTTGCCAGCAAGGGATATTCTCTTCCTTCCCCACATCCCCCCCTTAGTGTGTAGGAGATGCCTCTCACATCCTTCTGCAGAAATACTGCCTGCACACCTCTCCATTTTTGCAGTTTAGCAGGAAGAGTGGAACTGGCCTTCCCTGTGCTGACTCACTGCTTCAATTTTCCTTTTGAACTTTCCTTTTAGCACAGCTGTGAGACAGTTCAGTGAGCAAGTGCTTTGTTAAAGTTTAATAATTCAAAGATTAAGCCAGAATGCATGATGGAAAAAAAAAAAGGAAATAAGCTTGCTTACTTTTCCATATGAAAGAAAAACGTAAGAAAAGCAGGACAAATTCTGGAGTTCATGATTTATTTTTTTTTTTTCTGAAGTGCCAAGTCAGTAGTGGGCATTTAAAGAATTTAATTTCAGTGTGGCAGTTCTCAGCTGTGGGACATTGTCAGTAAGTGATCCTCAAAGCATAACAGTTAGGGTAAAATTAAAATTGTGGAAAGGAAAGGAAAACACAAATCCCAGAGAAGTTGTTTCTAAGTTTCAGGCATGCACTTCTGAATTCCAAGGCTTACCTGTGGGTTTTAACCCGGCAGTCACCCCCCACTCCCTGGAGTGGCAGCCACGTGGGTGCTCTTTGGTGCCACAAAGCAGGAAAAGGAACCAGATTCATAAAACAAAGCCCCAGTCCTTACGTGCCTGGTGCTTGGGCACGGGTTGGGAAGTGACACTAAGTCACTCTGTACTATTCTTCACTTGCTTCAGGAGATGAAACCTCATCAGTAATTAATGGCAGTGTCCATAATTTAGCGTTACTTTAAATAACTCTGCATTTTCTCTGGCACTCGGAGGGGAAGGCAAAGCGCTATTCCTGCCATCCCGTCTGTTTCCCAGGAAACCTGCTTTAACAGCTTCTTTGTTCTAAAGAACAAAGAGTTTGTCGGGTTTTAGGTGGGTTTAAAGGAATTTGTGTCAGATCGTTTGGCACCGAAAGAAAAATGCAAACGCTTCTGAATATCGGTATCTGTTAAGAGGGACAGTGAAGAATATTTTTGGTGTAAGTTCAGTTGCAAAAAGAAAAAGTGGGATTTCTTTGGGGTTTTTTGTAAGGTGTTTTTATACAGCCTATGGTATAAATGCACCTCCCTGATTTTGTAATCAGGTTGGACATTATTTAAATAGCATTATTAGTGAGAAATTAATGCAGTAATAAACTAATTCCAGCAATTTTAAAGGATTGTTCAGGTTTATCTTTGGTACCTTCGTTCATTTATAATTCATTATATTAGGGACAAACACAGCTGAGTAGTTTTTACCCTGTAATCAGTTGTTGTATGCTGCACAGAAAGCAGTAATCAGAGATAGCACAAAGCTCTTACAATTTCTTGGTAGAGGTTGGTGTCCTTGTCTTCATGTATAAATTCCTAGCTAATTCAGAACACCTTCTTGGCATTGCAGTTGTGTCACTTTGTTTCTAAATTTTAAATTGTGAAAACTTCCCTGATCTAAACTCATGGACTAGGACAGTGGGGAGCCACTGTCTTTGCAAGAACACCTTTAGTGTCTTTGCTCATGAGTGTAAAGGAGCAGTAGGAGGTAATCTGGGTTAAACTGATATAAAAATGAAATTAATTTGGGAGTGACTGAGAGAGTGTTCAGTGCAAAACTGATCAGTAACATGTCTGGAAGTTCATATGTTTGTATTATTTAATTTTCAAGTTGGGATACAGCTCCCAAAAAAGTGAGATTCTTTTGAAGACCCTGCCAGCATTTCATCCTCATTTGAAACAAGAAGCTGAATGATGGCACCATCTGGAGAATTGCTACCCATTTCTGGATCTCTTCCTGAAACCCACACGAGCCAGGTCATGGCAGGAACATTGCTCCTGCCATGCTGCAGCCTGACAGGTGTCAGCAAAGCTGAACTCTGCAGCTGATTAAGCTGGAAGTGAAAATGATGATTTTTTTTCCTTGCATTTGGGCTTTCTGTTGTTTGTACAGGTAGCAAGTTGGCCACATTTAAGTGACCTCTTCCAGGAAGACTAGAGTATGTCCTTAAGCAATACCAGGAGTTGATCCTGCCTGGACAATAAAGTACTGACATTCTGGGTAACTGATGTGAGAAGAAGTAAAGCTGTTTGACAGTTTTGCTAAAGTGCAATGTAACAGCTAATGAGGATGTGCAGCAAGTTGTAACTGACTTTGGTAAAAAGCTTAATTTTAAAATTCTGCAGGTGTACCTGCTCTTTCTTGGAAAAAGTTACTGATTCCAGTTTAGATGAATATTGATGAGCTAGAGTTATACAGTAACAAGCCTGAAAACCTGCTTGCTCTTCTGAAAGCTTGTCTGTTCCTTCTTTCCTTGCCCCAACTATGTCAGTTGGCTTCATAATAAATATTATGCTACTGTACTGAGCTTGTCTTGCTTTTATCTTCAGGCCAGCATGGCTTATGAAGCAGCTGATATTAAAGGACTGCTTGCCTCAAAGGGATCTGTCTTTAAAATGATTGCACTTTATGTTTCAAACCCAAGACTTGCAATGCTGATGCTGAAATGGAAGAGTTACATTTTTTTTAGGAAGCAGGAAATATCAGACAGTATTGCATAGTTAATTGGGAGTATTCTTTCCTGCAGAGTGGTGAACATCCATGTTCAGTGGTGGCTGTACTGAGAACATACCAGTGCTTTGTAATGAAAACATACAAGAATAGCTTTATGCAGAATTGGGCTATTATGGCATGTTGTATTTTGAGTTTTATAAGAGTATGAATTTTCCATGCTGTGACTCCATCAGCTGCCTCTTCCTGCTCTACACTCAAAATATCTCAACCCTGGCATAGTCTCTGTGGGTAAAAAGACAATTTTTTCAGGTCAGGATATTGCCAGCATACTTCTTCCTGCAGCAGACCAGCAGTGGGGCAACTTTCAGCACATAATTGAATGCTGCAGTCCTGTTTTGTGTCTGTGTCATGGTACTGGGACAAAACTGGAGTGTCAGATCTGCTAGACTGGATCCATTGAGCTGGTCCATTGAATTCCATGCCCTTGCTGTAACGGAGATCTGGACAAGATGCTTCACAGCAAGACATCGACGTGACAAGAAGCAACCTTTTCAGAAACAAAACCAAAGAGTTAAAATTATAAGATGCTACCAAGAGACACTGATGTCCTAATTCTAGAGAGCTGATGGTTGGCTTGTGCATGAGTAAGGAGGATTTCTGTCACTTTGGGAAGTTTAAGCTATATTGGGAAGGTACCGGGGTATTGCAGTGAGACTGCATTTTTCTCTAGTTCTGTCAGGAACACAGTTTTGCTCTTGTTCTTTGGGAGCAGATGTATTGGTAAAATGCATTGTGGTAATTCTGCACTTTATGCCTTCCTATTTGCTTCTCATTGAACAGCCCAGCTATGCTGGTGAGGTGGGTCCTCCGGGTCGCAGCTCTTTGGACAGCGTGGAGATGGCATATGCTCGTCAGGTGAGTGGAAATGGCAAAACACAGTTAAACATTGTGTTCTACGGAGAGAGGGGCAGGGGAAATGAAGATGTGAGCAGAGTGTGTAAGAAGGCATGGTAAGTAAAACATTAAAATATCTGCCCAGAGATAAAATGCAATTGGCAAATACGTAAACGTTGCACGATGTTTTAGGAACGTACTCACCTGTTTGCTGTAGGATTTCTTTTGTCAAAAAGAGATCCTAAACACCGTATATGATGTATGAATGTAGAAAACATTTATGCTTATAAAGTAAACTGAAATTCCTTCAACTTTTCAAAAGCAGTATTTTTTTAGGATTTGTGTCAATGTATAATTGTATGCAAATGAAGGTTTTATACTCCCTTTATTCTCACGTGTGGAAGATCACTGTTCTCATGTGTATGTGTGTAGAAAAAAACATGCTGAAGTCTTAATCCTGATGTTTGTCAAATTGTATCCTATTTTAATGGCATTGCTTATGAGAGGCTTTAGTGCATCAGCTATGAATTAATATGCCTGGTAGCATTAGACTCCCTCAGAAAATTTTCATGGAAAAGTGATAAACCTTTCTTTACATAACCAATTTATTACTTTTGTTGTTCGAGATTATCTGTTTACCAGCACTGTTGGGAACAAAATGAAAGAAAGGGACTTGATTTTTTCAAAATGGAATATGTGAAACGGCACAGACAAAGCGTTGCCTAATTTGCACACAATCACTGTTATTGTGTGTGTTGGCTCAGTCTGTGCTGAGGCAGAGAGAGCAGCTCCTGCATCTGTTTTATTCATCTGCATTCAGTTATAGTAACTGGAAAGAAACAAACTACAGAAGGGGCACGACTGTGCTGATAAAAGTGTACGTTTGATTTGGTGGCTGTTAAATAGTTGGTTAATTTAGTTCATATCTGCTGGGATATACCTGCAGTGAGGGTCTTCCTTACAGCACAACTATGCCTGTACTTTGAGGCTGTCAGTGTAGTTCTCTGCTGGTTTTTGAACACGGGGAGCCCAGCCTGTCTCGCAGGGCTGGCTCTGGGGTGGCTGTGGAGCCACCCTGGCAGGTGGCCCTTGGCAGGTCACAGGCTGTGCACAGGCTGCTGTTGTGTGCCCTGGAAACGAGGTGTTTGTGGCCAGGCTTCTGCTACCAGAACACTTGGTGCAGTCACTGAATGCTCCTGGCAAGCCCTCTGGAGAAGTTGGCCTGGCTGAGCTCTCCTCAATGTCAGCCTGCTGGAGTGCAAGAATACCTGGGTGTCAGCAGCCTCTGTGGGGCTCCTGTGCTTTCAGGGGGGAGTTAGGAGACCTGGAGATCAGGCAGTTCATGCTGCTTTGGTTTATCAGCAGTCATGAAACGTGTTTTGATTACACTGAGGTGATTAATTGTTCTTCATGGACAGTTGGAAGCGTTTCACAGGAACACAGTGTCATCCCTGGCTGTGATTGCACTGATGCTGCATTCTGGTTGCAGTCCTGAGCTCTGCATCCTGTTTGCACACTGGGCATGTTGAAGTAGTGCATGACAAAGGGAGTTAAAGTACAATGGCACTGCCTTTCTAGCACTGAGAATGATAATTTTCAGACATAGTGGACAGGCTTTAGGCTGAGAGTAGAATAAACAAGAATAGATGAAGCTAAATTAAATCAAGAGTTAAAACGGGGGGATGTGTGTGTGTGTGTGTATGTTTAAGAGTAGGTTTTGAAGGGCCAGGTTTCTGTTCATTTCCCTGTCTCAGATTTCCCTGAATACTGCCACAAACCAGCAAAATCCCCTTTCTTTTATGTCAGCAGGTAGGAGGCTGCCCCTTACAGGGGAATATCACAGCCTTCTAGTTGTCAGGTCGCTTCTGAATCTTTGTCCTTGAACAATTAGCTGCAATTAGTCTAACAGGGCATCCAGCTCGCAGTGCTTTGCCTGCAGAACCCCTGAGCAGCTGGGCAGCTGCCTGCCCTCAGGCAGGCCTGGGGCTCTGGGGTGCTGTGGCAGCTCGGGTGAGGCTGAGGAGGGTTCCTCCACTGCTGGGTTAGAAGCAGTTAATGTGGGAGAGAAGCAGAGGGACAGCCTGGTTCAGATTTTGCTGCTGTGGCTGGGAAGGGGATGGGGCATAATACGTGTTGTTAAACATGCTTACTTTAATTATGTTTTAGATTTATATTTATAATGAGAAGATTGTGAATGGACATCTGCAGCCTAACCTGGTGGACCTTTGTGCTGCTACTGCAGGACTGGATGATAAGGTACTGCCAGTGAGTTAACATAAGGAAATGCCTTTAATCTGTTTTCAGCTGTGATTAACAGCCTGCTGACATCAGGGGAAAAATACTGATATTGCCAAAAAAAATTGCGTGGCTCCACAGAAAACACAGAGACAATACTGGAATTTTCTCCAGTGCAGCAGGGCCCACCTGTGACGAAGCTGGTCATGGTGAAAATTTCTTAACACAGTGAGGAAGAAACGACCCTGGTGTCCCATCATAAGTGATAAGCTGTTGGAGGAAAAAATTGCTTTTAATGTTAAATAGATTCTGTTGGTTTGGTTTTCCAAATGTGGTCTCTCAATGTCGTTTGAAGGTATTTAGTTGTAGGTGAAGGGTTTTCAATCAGGCTGTGGTAGAGCTGAAATAGGCTCCCATAGCAAAGCATAAAGCCCCTGGGATTGACTTTAAACCAATGATCTGTCTACTTTTTTTTTTTTCTATTCCTGTAATGGTGTTGCCTTGATCCACCCCAAACCCAAAACAAATGCACAAACTTGGCCACCTTCAAGAAATGCCTGGAGGAGAATCCTGCAGGAGGGTCAGAGCCATGGAAAACCTGTGCAAATGGGGAGAGCAAGAAGCTGTTCAGAAAATGCCTCAGTCCGATCTGAATTGCAGATGTGCATCTTTGCTCTGAACAGCTCTGTTTGTTTTCAAGGCACAACACAGTGAATTTCGGTGTTCTTGCTGCTTTGAAGCAGGAGGATGAAAGAGCTACCCTTGCCCAAGTGAACAGAGCTGTTAGTTCTCAGTCTTCTGCCGTTTCAGCAGGGACACCCCAGTCCTGCAGACACTGATATGATCTCGTCCTTGTGAATAAGCAGACCTGGATGGTTTTCAGCCTTTATTTATAACTGAGCCTTTGTCCAAGTGATCAGTGTCCTTTTGATGATTCTTATCACAGCTGATCATACAGCTTTCCAAAGGCAGCCAGAGCCATTGCTTACAAGGAAAGCTGATGGTGCTGTGGGATTTATTGAGTGGAAAGTGTGAACTGAAAATGGGCAAGAGGCCGAGCACCAAGTACCCAGCCTAGTTTTGGAAATAATTGTCAATCCTAGGTGACAATTGCCAGTACAATGTTTATAGCCATCTTCTTGGACAAGAATTATGCAGAAAAGCCTGTGAAATTTGAATTCTGCAGGACAGAATCAACTTACCTTCATGACTGCATCCAGTATCTGCAGTACAACTCTCAGATTACATTACTCTTGTGTTTTTATGCTTTCCTTAAGCATCAGAGCTCCATGTAGCTCAAAACAGTGTTGATTGTTCGTTCTGTACTAATTGCTGAGGTGTGGAATGACTTCTTTACAGAACATCTCCGAGATGTGGGCCATGGTGAAACAAATGACTGATGTTACCCTGGTTCCTGCCAGTGATGCCTTGAAGGTCCGGACCAACATGGAGGTGCGGATGGAATTTGTGAGGCACGCTCTGCACTACCTGGAGCAGAGGTAAGGGGAATGCTCTGGGGGGCACAGTTTAATAAAGTTCCCTAATAACAAGCCAGAATGACTTTGTGATGTGCATGTTAAGAAGTCAGCTACCTTGTGCTGCTCACAGCAGTGTCTGCTGCCTGTCTTTTTTATTGTGCAGGGCTTAGAGCAGCCACTTGAACATAAAGCTGTTTTAGTTTAAGAGTGATCTAGTTAAAAAGGCCTTGAATCCATGGGGAGGTTGTTTAGAAGATGCAAAGACTTTTTATTCTTTCTTCTGTGTTGCTTATAAATATTCCATATCTGCACAGTGAAATGTGAAAATCTGTCACTTGTGGAAAGGGATCAATTTCCCCTCTGAAAAAAACAATTGTTTTCTGTATGTTCACTTTGTGATTGCTGATGACTGTCAGCAGCTCGTGAGGACAGCACTGGGGTCAGCCCAGTGCAGTGAGTCAGTTCTGATCGTGCCATTTCTACACTGAAAAGTTTTGGGAAAATGTGAAGACGTGTGGCAGTGATTTTGAGGCTGTAGGAGGTGGTTTGCTGCGTTTATCAGCAAGTATCATGGGAGCCTAATTTCCTTGACCGGGAAAGTGCTTGGAGGATTGCAGGCTGTGGGGCTGCCCAAAGCCAGGTCCCTGGGTGGCAGCATTACCCATCCCCTGCCCATGTGCATGGTGCAGGGTCTCTGGTAGCTGGGGTGTGGTGCCAGCAGGCTCGTTCAGCCCGTGCAGCAGTGGCTGCAGTGTAGGACACTCCTTAGGGACACAGATCTGCCATCGGAGCATGGACAGTGCTGTGCTCTCATACAACACTCTGGGAAGAGATGCTCTCACCTCCTGGCACAGGCTCTCCTTGGCCCTGACAGTTGTTTGTCACACCTCATCAGTGCTCCTGTCACCCAGGGGTGATGGTGGAGTGCCCACCTGTGCACAGAGGAGCTGACAGAGCTGGAGGATCTCCTGTTCCCAGTTCTTTGGTCTCAGCAGGGTGCAATCAGCCAGTGACTCTTATCCTGATTTGCCAAAGATCCAGCTTGCTAAATTTTCACAGTGCCATTAACTGCTAACTGAAAGAGTTATATACAGTTCACCCTCAACCCTTCCAGCTGTGGAGATTGTGCCTCTCAGGCTTGACACACGACCCTGTGCCTAGCTTTGGAGTTTTCCTTTCCTAGAGGGAATTGTCTAATACTGAACTGTTTCCGTGCCTCACCAGTACACTTGTACACAGAGGAGATGTAATGCCACTCACAGCTGCTCTTGCATTAGTTGCTTTGGAACAACTGTGATCTTGAGCCCTGAGGAGCATGCTCTTGACTCAGCCATAATTCTAGAGAAAGAAAGAACTTCATGGCATTTATTGCTGCTGCTTACATAGGTCTTCCATGAGGGTATAGATTTTTGAGACTTCTACTTCTAAACATGAATATTTGTTGAATTGATCTGCCCTGATCAAATGCTTTGATGGGTTATTTTAAAAGATGTTCTTAACGCTGCTTTTACCAGTTGTATTTCTCTGAATTCCCTTTTTCTCTGGGATTTCCTTCTGGCAAGTCCATAGCCCAAAGGATGATATTTTTTCATGGGGCAGGGAAGAGAGACAAACACATCTATGGTGTTTAACTGTTCTTTAGTGATAGGGTTGAGAGTTAAAGCATTAGGATGGAAAGGCTTTTTGCCAATTACACAATTGAGCTTAACTTAGTACTATGAAAACCTAATAAGAGGAACTTCATAATAGAGAGTTGAACCTGGAGCAGTCCACAGCCTCCAAACATGGTGTCTCTTGAGACTGCTGAATGCAGGGATCTTCCTAAAGTGACAGCAATGTTTGCCTCATTCTGTTGTGATGATAATGTTGGAACATCAAGGTAATTTGCTTTAAATTGCTAATTCTGTCAGATCTGCAAGGCACTGAATGTTTTTGTAGCAGCTGTATTTCAGTCTGTTCATGTTTGGTTTTGCTTGTGTTGTTTTTCAGTTACAAAAATTACACCTTTGTGACAGTCTTTGGAAACTTGCACCAGGCTCAGCTGGGTGGAGTCCCAGGGACTTACCAACTGGTCCGCAGCTTCCTGAACATCAAACTCCCAGCATCTGTCCCTGGGCTCCAGGTTTGTCCCTCACTCTCAGCCACTGAGCTAAAATGATAACACCAGTCTGATTGCTCCAGTACAGATGGGAAACTAGTGCAGCCTCCAGTGGCTTTTCTGTTGTTTAAGCTGCTTTTGGTGTAGCAGGCTCTTATTCCTTCTCTGGAATTTTTCATTAGGAAAATGGAAGATAGTAGCCAAAATCACTCTGAACTCAGAGCTGGTCAGTAGTTTGAGTTCTGAATTCTAGAAATCATGGTCTCTTTGGGTGGTCATCTTAGAGATCAACCGAGGAGTATTAAAATACACTATGATGTTTCAAAAAAGCAGTAACTTAATCTCCCTGTTTTGCTTTTTCTCTTTTTTTGTACTTGTTGTAAGATGATGACACCAGTTTTTGATAACTAAATGTGTAATGAATTCCTCTGAGTTGTAGCCTAAGCCTTTTATTTAGGAATCTGAATAAAACTCTGCTTACCTGCATATAGTAGAAAGTGCATAGCTGTGCATCTACAAAATTAGCAGATAGGCAGGCTGGGTTGAAAAATTAAATTTAAAAGTTAAATGAAGAAATGATAAATTCTAACACTGGAGAGCACACAGCTAAGTCTTGCTGTCTTTTTCTTGCCTACTGAGATCTATGATTAGCTTGATATCTTTGTTTCAGTAAAGATGTTTTAAATTTTAAAGTTCTTGTTTTAATGTATCGGGTATAATACAAATCCACCTCCCAGGTGGGGAGAATATCATTTGCAAGTTCTGGGATTGTCAGAACCCCACTCAGAACTGAAATCTGGGCAAGCAAAGAAGAGTCACACTCTTCACTGCTAAGATGTACAGAGCTTTCACAGGACTTAACCATTATAACCTCTGGCTTCTGTAACACAAACAGAATTTTTTACCAAAATTAGAGTGTGGGTATAAGGGCAGAATTAATGAACGAGGCAAAGAATAATTTAAAAAATGGAGTATTTCCTGCTTTCTTTTCAGGATGGTGAGGTGGAGGGGCATCCTGTGTGGGCACTGATTTACTACTGCATGCGCTGTGGGGATCTGACTGCAGCCATGCACGTGGTGAAACGGGCACAGCACCAGCTGGGAGAGTTTAAAACCTGGTTCCAGGAGTACATGCACAGTAAAGACAGAAGGTAATTGGGAACCAGGAAAGATCTTTGTGAGGGGTGGGAATTGCTGTGGAGTAGTGAATTAATCAGTGGCTCGGTGGGAATGCAAGAAGCTCAGGTCTCTTCTGGTGGTGTTGGCTGCCTGGTGTTTGTTTATATTACCTCCCTAAATTACATACAAGAAGTTTGCATATTTTAATTTGTGGCTTTCAAGTCTAGAAATCTCAATAGAGAAAGAGTTGTTTGAAAAATATGCAAAAATTTACATTTCAGAAATAATACAGTGTGGTGCAGCTTTGCCTTTTTACAGGAGGATATGCCCTGTGTAACAGTGGGGTACTACATACAATAGATCAGATTTAATCTGCTGTCACGAGTCCTGTCTCTTTTTATTTCCCCTGTTGTTTATTTTAGCTGAATTTCCTTTGGGGAACACTTTTTACTACACCTGTTTTCATAGGAATGCCATGCAGGAGAAGCAGGCGGTGTTTGTTAGGCCTTTAGAGGCACTCACAGTCACCTCTTTCCTGTGCTTATTCTCCTTTTCCACTTTTTGCTGTTCATCACGTGGCAGAGGCCACTGGCCAAACTGCTTCTGGTGTGGTTGCAAACAGTTGCAAGCTAACAAAACAAACTGAAAGAAAAAAAAGTCCAAGTGCCATTTACCAAGTAGTGTATGCCATGTCATTCTTCTATAAATTAGCCTGTTTTGTAGAGTATCTAGGAGTGCTCATTATATCAAGATTGTTCCAGAAACTTTAGGGAAGGTATTGTCATTGTTTTCATTATAAGCACTTTAATGAGATACAGTATAATTGATTTATTTTGGTTTTGTTACAGCTATGGAAAGGTGCTCTGCCTACAGATTTGACAGGCAATGTCTTTGTCTAGAACACTTCACTGGTTCAATTCTGTAAAATTCTCTACAAGAGGGTACCAGAAAAAGAATGACAAAGAACATTATGACAGTAGTTAATAACAAGGATGAAAGTATCTCTCCTAAAAGATTTCATGGTACAATGACCTGCTCACTTGTTAGTTATTAACCCAAAGAGTTCCAAAGACTTTGTGAGCTCTCTTTTTCTGAAATTATGAAATAGCAGAGTCGGACAAAAATAGCTCATCTACCACAGTATTAATGTTCCCCTAAAGACACTGTCATATGGTTACTTTGTTTTTCCTGCAATGGGTATTTGAAGACGATCCTCCATAACTTAAATTATGTGTTTAAATTCATGTGTGCAAAGTTTTGACCTGCAGATATAAATAGAAAGTGCAACAAATACCGGCCAGTGCTTACTGTTGTTATACCTTTGCTGTGAATACACACCTATTTACAGTTATTTGTATCTAGGTTGCCTTGTGCAGGGAAAATGGGTTTCATGTCTTTTCCTTCAATCTTTTCTTTTCCTCAGACTGTCTCCTGCCACAGAAAACAAACTGCGCCTTCATTACAGGCGAGCTCTGAGAAACAACACTGACCCCTACAAGAGGGCTGTTTATTGTATCATTGGCCGTTGTGACATTACAGACAACCAGAGTGAAATTGCTGATAAAACAGAAGATTATCTGTGGCTAAAAGTGAGTGTGATACTGGGGTTGTGGTGGTGCTGGTGTTTGGATTCATTTTTTTTTTTAAAGAACAGTTCTAAATGGTACTGCATTTCTGCACTGCCCTGCTACCCTCCTCACTTCTAGAGTAGGGAAAACCTGCTTCTTGGTATTTTGCATCAGTGTGATGCATGTGACCTGGCTGCTCTGTTGCCCTCTGTACTATCAGGTGTTAGTTTGGTTACACTTGTCTTTGGAAGTGCCATGTTCTTCATTTGACACTGATCTTTGTCAGCTGTTTTTACAAGTAATGTTAGCTTGCTACAGTGAGGATTCTTTGAGTTCTCCTTCCTGGATGGATTATGTCTGAAATGTTGGTGTCAGTTGACCAAAGACAATACTGCCAATGTCTCTGAAGTCTGAAGTCCTTACAGCTTTGGTGGGGGCATGACAGATACTGGTCGGCACCTTTATCAGAAAGAGGGGGGTAGAATGGTGTTAAAAAAATATTGTTAAAATAATTTGTTAAAAGCTAAGGAGTGCTGCTTTTAATTATTGCTTAGAGAGTATTCAGAGTCCTAGCACTGAACTTTGATGGCATGGACAGATACAGAACCCCCTGGTTATATCTGCATGGGTTTCTGGTGCTGCTGCATTAGGAATCTTTGCTTCCCAGCAGTGGACGTTGTGACTAGAAGTAGTTTCTAGGCAGTTGGTCAAATCCTAGGAGGGGCTTCAGATGGAATGAATATCTTCTGAGTGCATTCCTTGTGCAGGGGGAAGTAACTGTGCTTCTTTTATTGGGTGTGTTTTTTAGCTGAACCAAGTGTGTTTTGATGATGGTGGTGCAAGCTCCCCCCAGGACCGACTGACGTTATCACAGTTCCAGAAGCAGCTGCTGGAAGACTATGGTGAGAAAACACAGAGAAATGTGTTACCTGGAGCTTCTGCTTTTCTGCTTAGGACACTTTCCAATTGTTGTTACACAAACCCTAGACTCCACTACTGACAGGCATCTTCAGGGTGTCCATACCTGCTTTCCTGGAATAATGGCAGACTTCAGCAAGACATGATGAATAAGTCTAAGTGTTCCCGGCAATCCAGAGAGTAAATATTCATCTGTGAACAATACTGCTGCTGTTTCTCCTTAATCCATACTTAATTGCAGGTTGCTTTCTTTCACCATAAATGTGCCAAAGTCTTTAGCAGAACTTCCAGCTTTTGGAATACAGAACAGAAAAGCAATCACTACCTAATGTAGGCATGTCTTTCCAAGCCTTTTCTCTGTATGCATCTGATGTTCATTGTTTCCCTTAAATTAATATTTCAAGTAATTTTCTGGGTATCCAAGTCACCGTTCCTTAGACCTCAGTTCTTAGAAAGTTCTTAGACCATCCACAGCTCAAGAGAGTACCTTTTCCTCTAATCATCTTCCAGTCACTCAAAATTAAGTCACTTGGACTTTCCAAAACACACAGAATTTGATTCTCCCCAGCTTTCTAGTTTGTAGTATCACTAACACTCACACAAAATTGTGTGGAAAAGAAATACAGTAAGCTACTGTTGGTGTCACTGAGTAGGAAAATCCAGGTTTTTAACGTTATTTGTACCACCTAGCAGAAGTGTAAACAAAGACAAAAAGTTGTGATCTTTAGAGAATCTGTTGGGGTCTGTCAGAGCTGATGGTTTGTTGTCTGAAAAGACACTGATCTTTCCTGATAAATTTGCAATGGAGCAGTTGTAGATGAGCCACTGATCAGGAATTCAGTTCTGTGTACTGTGTCTATTTTGGTTGGCACCGGCTGAACAGCCACGATGCACCGTGACAGGAGGCATCCACTGTCAGTCATCTCTGATGGCACAAGCATGAAAACGATGTGAAAACGCTCTGTGTTTTGTTCTTTTCCAGGTGAATCACATTTTGCAGTGAACCAGCCACCTTTCCTCTACTTCCAGGTGTTGTTCTTGACAGCACAGTTTGAAGCTGCAATCGCGTTTCTCTTCCGGACAGAGCGCTTGCGCTGTCACGCTGTTCATGTTGCTTTGGTCCTGTTCGAGTTAAAACTGCTCCTCAAATCTTCTGGCCAGAGTGCACAGCTGTGTAAGTCCTCTTTACTTCCCAATAAAGGAATGTTTTGTGAGCCCCCAGAGTACCCTGTAGACACTGCAGGTCTGTGTGATTGATCAGTCAAGGAGCATTTATCGGAACAGTCTCATCAGAGTTAACTGGTTTAGTTCCTTTCGAGCTCTGGATCGTGGTTCTGACTGATTTCAGATGAAGATCAGTTTTCCTGGCATTCCATTCTGTGACAGTGTTGTTTCTGGCCTTGCAGTAAGCCATGAAGTTGGGGACCCTCCTGGTGTCAGACGGCTCAATTTTGCGCGGCTTTTGATGCTTTACACCCGTAAGTTTGAATCAACAGACCCGAGGGAAGCTCTGCAGTATTTTTACTTTCTCAGGTAGGAGCTAATATATGTCTCTAGATTTTCTCCTAGTTATTACTGCTTCATTTTTCTTATCTGGAAAGTTCTCAGAAACAGCAGTGCCTTCCTCCTTCTCTTTCTTTTGTAGGAATGAGAAGGACAGCCAAGGAGAGAACATGTTCCTGCGTTGCGTTAGTGAAATAGTAATTGAAAGCAGAGAGGTACGTTTGGCCATGCTTTGCCTTCCTCACTTAAACTGAAAGTCATTTCTTCATTGAAGTCTTTATTAGACAGGACAGCCTTAAGAGTTGTTTACCCTTTGTGCCTGATGCAGACCCAGATGTTGGAGGGTCTTGCAATGACCATTAACAGAGTTGATCATGTCTTTTTGCCTGTTATTTAGTTACAAATGCTTTTGACAATGGTCACTGTTTTTTGTTCATCCATGACTTCATCTTTGTATTTAGCAAATATGTTGTGAAATACATGCAATTCATCTCTCTGTTTTTGTTTCCTTTTTTCTTTACATCTGTGTGGATATAGTTTGATATGATTCTTGGAAAGCTGGAAAAAGATGGTAGTAGGAAGGTGAGTTAACAATTTATGTTTATATTTTACATAAAAAGCACAAAGCATGTGTGATTTCCAAAGCAGTCACAAATGGGGGACAGCTATTTCTGACAGGATTTTCTTTTAGATGTCTTTGTTTTGTCAGTTCAAAAGTGATGAGGTAACTTGATAATCTTTACAAATATTTTACACTTTGGTGTGAAACCAGCAATCTTAAGTTTAAAATAAATTGTTCTAGATGATCATCTTAGTTTTGCATGCTCAACTACAGTAAAATCATTTCCAGATATTCTTGACTCTTCCCTCTCTTTTGTTCTACAGGTTTATTATTTGTTTTAAAATTCTTATTGCCCTTGCTTTTAACTGTGTAAGGTGTCACTTGCAGCCTGTCATGGCAGTATAAACAAACAGCCTCCCCGGAGCCCCTGGCATGTTATATGCTGAGGTCTTTTGTGTTTTCTTCTCCCCTGGAATGTGTCATCAGCAATTAACAGCTCAAACTCTGAATTATTTTATCTGGGTCATTTTGGGTGAAATAAAAACCAAGGATGTCTCAGTGCTGACTCTGTTTTGGAGAAAGTCGCTCTTGCAAGATCTCATTCTAATTTTAATGTCTCACTTTTGCACTTTCCCATGGAAATGTACAGGCCATTCTAATCATAAGCCAACACATAAAATATTCATTGCCTTGACAGAGTATTCAGAAGTATTTAAGCATCCTGATTTCTCTTTTCTCTCCTTTTATTTTTGTCTCACTTCTTTAGCCTGGAGTGATAGACAAGTTTACCAGTGACACAAAATCCGTTATTAACAAAGTGGCTTCTGCAGCAGAAAATAAAGGACTGTTTGAAGAAGCTGCAAAACTCTATGACCTTGCAAAGGTAAATATCTCCTGTGTGCTGCCTTAACTGTGTACCTGCTTCACTGTTTTTCTTTCCAAACGTTCTCTCTGTGATTAGGAGGTTAAATTTCATCTCAGAGATTGAATTGCCCTTATTCAAGCAGCTTTTTTCTGCTGCTGTTAGAGCAGAGCCATTGGCTGCATGAGAGGGGGTTTAGTGAGCAAACCCGGATGGATTGCACTCCAGGGATTCTGATTCAGGACATTCTGGTTCTTGATCAATGTAATCTTTTGAAGTGATTGCCTCCTGCATGATTTTATTCTGTCTAGTGAAGTTATTTACCTGGAGTATACTCTTCCAATTTCATGGATGTTGAACTGAAGTCTAAAATAGTTAGGCTTTATAGTGAGTACTCGTGTTTCCTTTTGAAATACATTTGAAATAAAAGTTGATTCAACCATAGACACTATTTTAGAGAAAAGCTAGGGGAAAATACTTTTTCACATGAGCCAGCAGCATTATGTTGCTTGTAGCTTATATGGTCTTGACTCTGTGGGAGGGAAGTGTCCCTGAGCTTGCACTGAGCACCTACTGCATGAGACTCTTCTGCTTTTTCAATGAGATTAAAACACCAAGTCCCATCATGCTCCTTTTATTTGTGTGTCACTTCAATACCTACAGAACCCTGACAAAGTTTTAGAGCTGATGAACAAGCTGCTCAGCCCAGTTGTTCCCCAGATCAGCACTCCCCAGTCGAACAAGGAGCGGCTGAAGAACATGGCCCATTCCATTGCTGAGAGGTGAGACTGGGGGAGGCAGGACTGGGTGACTCACCTGCACCTGGCCCAGGGCTGTCAGTGTGTGGGGGGGTTAGTTCTGGTGTTGTTTCTGCAGGCTGGACTGTGGCATCCACAGCAATATACTTAGAAAGACAGAGAAGAGGTCAGAATTGACCCTGTCCTGCTCGTGATGGCTTGCAGTACTGAAACCAGAAAAGAAACTTTCTGGGGCAGGTCAGGTAAATTTGGCAAGAAGCTTTATTTGTAGGTGAGTCAGGATTGCCAGCTGGAGACAGGGTCTGTTAAGGACCAATGAATATAATGAACTCTTTGTTTTATATTATTTTTAAAGCAAAATATCATTACAGTTGCAGAGTCATTGCACACAATTCACTTGCTTGAAATAGTATTGAGAGCTACAAAAGCAGTAATTCTGAGTGGTAACAACAGTGCAGCGAGTTCAGCAGCTGTCTGAAAACCTTAGTTCACTGCTGCTTTAATTAAAGCTAAAAAGGGAACGTTTAAGCTGAGGTGTGTACATGGCTAACATAAGCAGTGGACCTCATTGCCACAGCCTGTTAGATTATCCAAGTGCTGTGTGGTACTCAGAAAAGGGAGAGAAATGGAAGTGACCAAAAGGAATATCCCCTGCAATGTCTATATTAGGGGACATAGACATATGCTAATTAGGATACACTGTGCTAATTAGGATACATGTTTGAGAGACATCAGTGCTCAAGATTCATTAGCAGCTGGAAGTTAGGAATAGCCTGATTCTGAAAGGCTGTAATTGCAAAATAACTTCGTGGTTTTTTTTTTAAATCGTCCTCTTTTGGTGTATCTTGTCACAGTGGCTGCCATGGAAAATTCCTGTATTTTACTAGAGCAAAATGTGGGTACCTGTGAGAAATGTCTCACTGGTTTTCCTCAACCCTTCAGCTGCAGAGAGAATAAAAATAAGCCAACCCCACTTGCTGGCATTTGAAATTGGAAGACAAATACAGACATGCATTGATTTCCATCAGAGACCTTTCCCTTTCTTGTTTTGACAAGTGCCATTTGCCAGTCACTCCTTCTAGTCAACCTTTCCCTCATTTAGCCAGACTGAGACGGAGTGAAATTGGTGCTCTATTGACTTAGTGAGAGACTGATTTGGTGGCAGACATTAAAGGGAATTAAACCTATGGCTTGAGTTAAAGCTTCAGCAAAGGCTGTAATGGGCTTTGGTTTGCTACTTGCTTTGATCTGTTTGAAAGCACTAAATATTACTGTGCAGTAATGCCACCCACAGCTGCAAACCTCAGTGACTCAAAGCCAGAACAGTTCTGATTAGAGCATCTTCTTGCCAGTTAAATGTAAGAGAGGGCTTTTCCTCATGGACCCTTCTGCAGACAGGGCTGCAGTGGTGCAACATTCCTCCTGTGCCTTCTTAGGATGCTTTTGGAACAGGGGAGACACCCAGCAGGAAAGGCCAAGAGGTTATTTGGCTTCCTTCTCTGCAGCACCACTGTTAAACCTTGAGGAAGGAGCTCCTCTGTGACCTGGTGCAGGCAGCAGTGAGAGCAGGCAGCCCTCCAGCTCATCCCCTAGCCAGGGGAGCTGGAGACAGCATGCAGGAGCATTTAATCCATCTTTAGGTCTTAACTTCCTGCCTGAAGCAGGGAGTTGTGCTGAAGGATTGTCTGCTGTAAAACAGCATGTTAAATATGCTTGTACAGAGCTTGCCTTGCAGGTCTCTGCTGCCTGGCACTGTTTCCCCATGAATGTGGGACGTGTAAACATGTAAAAGGAAACAAATGTTGGATTTGATGCAAAAGGGGAAGGGATTAAAAGTATTTTTAAAAAGCCACAACCTGTGAAAATTCTGCCTCCTGTTTAAGGAAAATGAAAGCTGTCCTTTGTTAAATGCCTTCTGTCCTTGTGCTTGATGTCTCCGCTTCCAAGAATTGCAAGAGCACAGTTATAAACGGTTGCCATTTTGCACAATAAAACTGTAAAACAATTTCTTTCAGGTACAAAGCGCAGGGGATAAGTGCAAAGAAATCCATTGACTCCACGTTCTACCTTCTGCTAGACTTAATCACATTTTTTGATGAATATCACGCTGGTCACGTTGACAGGGCCTTTGATGTAAGTTGCAAGAGTTCTGTTTGAAGTGTAGCCTTCCTAATGCCCTTGAAAGCCCAGAATGTCTCAAATAACATCACTTAAAAAAATTATATTTAATGAGTTAGAAGGGGTTGCAATGCTGTAGGAATTTAAAAAGGTGTTTCTTCCCTGTTGCTTGATAAACAGGAAGATCTTTCTGGGGCTGTTTTATAGGCATTGAACAAAATATTCTTGCTGCTCAACAAAGGAGATAAACCAATAACTAACAATGAAATTATTTCTCTTGAATGAAACCAGGACGATTTCATTAACGCTTCAAACCCACACTTTATTAGTATATGGTGCATAGAACACTGATTATCTGCCCTGATTCCTGCTTTTCTCTTTGAAGATTATTGAACGCCTGAAGCTCGTGCCTCTTAGCCAGGATTGCGTCAAGGAGAGAGTTGCTGCCTTCCGGAACTTCAGCGATGAAGTAAGTTCTGTCTTGGGCTTTAGCTTTCAAAAGCCTTCTGCTTTGTTAAAAGGATCCTAAAGCCTTGTCATCTCATCATCCTTATTCTTCAGCGGGGAAATAGGATGAGATTATTCTGAATTCGTACAAGTAGATTCTTGGCTTACAACTTTCTCCTCTGTGCTGCTCTTTCAAGTGCTAGGATTCCCTGCCCAGAAATCCTCTCTCCATTTTGAAGAAGGCATCTGCCTGAGTCTCCCTGAACTTACTGAGTTGGATCCAAGAATTCAAAATATTGGAAGCTTTTAGCTTGCTGGTGACTTAGTTCTCCCACACTGGTAATGGTCACCAAGCATTTGCAGGGTGTTTGTTTAGTTCCCTCTAAATCAGAGGATTTGTGTATTAGCAGATGAAGCACGGTGGAAGGCTGTTACTGCTTTTGAACTGTTTTAACTGGAGGATGACACTTCTCTTTTAGGCAGTGTTTGTGTGCATTTGGGTGCTTTAGAGTTCTTTGTATTCAGGCACTTTGGGTTTTGTCTGACCTGTTGCTGTCAAAGATGAAGGTGCAGCCATTATGCATGTCTGTCTGAAAGCTCTGGGCAGTGTTTGTGCTGGATGGTGCAATCACAGCAGGGTAACCATTACAGGTATGACTGTTACAGGAGTAAATATCAGCCATAGTTGTCATTGTTTGACTTTCTGATTCTGCATAGCAAGGGTAATGGTTCTGTCAACATGCTCCTCACTGCAATGTGTCTTTTTTTCCCCCCTTCTTTGTGTAGATCAAGCACAACTTATCTGAGGTCCTGCTTGCAACCATGAATATTTTATTCACCAAGTATAAGAGGATGAAAGGCACAAGCCCAACCACTCCTGCCAGACCTCAGAGGGTAATGGAGGACAGAGATTCGGTAAGAATGTAATCCTCACTGTCTGAGGATTTCCTGCATCCTGTCCCCCTGCTTTTAAGAGACTGGGCTTTGCATAACTGTGAATCTCTAATGGTCTTTGCTTTTGACTTGCTCAGTTACTCAGAGTCTCAGACTACTGAGCTTGCTCAGTTACTTTATCTCAAGGCTGATCTATGATACCTTTGGCTTTGTGTAGGGAGAGGATGGAACCGGATGACCTGTAAGGTCCCTTTCAGGCCAAACCATTTGGAGTCTATAATACTGCTCTAAATGGCACTAAGCTAATGGGGATATTACCCCTATATTTTCACTAGCAAGAAAAAGCAAGTTGCTTCTTGGTGGGATCTTAAATAGTAAAACAGATGGGGACAGAGCAGTGTCTCTAGGTTGGTTGGTGTTGCTGCTGTGACAACTGAGCTGTTGCTTTCAAGCACCTGATTTCCACTCCCTTCATTTGAGTAGGTGCCCATTTCTGGTGGAAGGGCCTTCCTTGACTCCTCTCCTTGGCCTGCTTCTGTAGTGACATGGACTGATGTTTTCCAAATGTCCTTGGGGGATGCACCAAGATCTCGATGGTGAATGGCAGCAGTTTGCCAGCGTCGTGCTGCTGCCTCTGCAGCAGAGTGGGCAGCAGTGCTTGTCTGGCTGTCTGGGGAAATGGGTGGCAACAGTGGGTTTGACTTCAGAGCTCCAGCTGGTGCAGAAGCGTTTCTCCAGCCCACTGACAGGAGCCCCCACCTCTGCAAGGTGCAGAACAGGCATCATTCAAAGGGCACACCCAGATTTGTGGGCACTCGCCTGTCAACATGCGGGGTTGAACAGAGAGGTTCTCACCTGTTATTGGGTTTGGTCTTGTAACTCTTACTAAGCTAAAGCTGCTGCAGGCACTTGGAAACCAAGGCCAAACCATTCATCCTGTCTTAACAGATTAGAAAATAAATATCAACTACTTTTGAGAGTGAAAACCAACTTGGGGCACAGCCAGCTTTATTCCAGGCTTTAGTCAGCTGCAAAAGTGCCTTTGATCTGTAAATTGCAATATTGCTAAGGCCTTAGTAGCATTTTTAAATTACATAAGAAAATGAAAGGTGTGAGTAATGATATATCTTTGGTTTTGGGGTGCAGCCTGTGAGAGCTACAGGATCCTGCCTTACAGCAGTGCTTGTACTGCAGATTGGCAGCACTGCTGAGGGATGCCTACTGCTTGGGCTTCTCCCACCTTAAACTCTACACATGTGAAGTCCCAGGCTAAGGCAATGTGTTACCTGCTCTGTGTCTTCACAAGGTTGGCACTGAGCAACCAGTTCCTTGCTTTCCAAGTGAGCTGTTTGTTTTGGTTTTGATTTCAGTCTTGTGCCTCATGCAGAAGCATTTACCATCTCTGTAGGGGTGCAGTGCTGTCAGGTGTCACCTCAGTAGGAGCATTGTTGGCTGACTGGGGATGGTTTAGCAGCTCTGCTGGCAGAGGTTTGTGTGGAAGAAGCCACTGACATGGTGTTGTATCAACAGCGGGTGAGCACTGCTTCACAAACATGCTCTGCACTCATCTGTGGAGATCAGCTGATGTTGTACCTTGCTAAAAACCCTTGGAAGTTTTCTTTTTTCCAGGCTTCAGGTTTTGTTAATCAACCTTCTGGCCTTGTGGTGGGATCCCCTGGCAGCAGGGTTTGAGTGATGGTGGGGACAGGGGGTTCTGAGTCCCAGCTCTCTGTGTGCAGTACAAGCTGTGCTCAGCCATCAGAGGGGACAAGTGCCCGCTGCTCTGCTGTCAGGAAGGGGATAAGAGAACAGCTGTGTGACTGCAGTGTCACAGGGGAGCATAATCTGCTAATGTAGGATTAGCAGGAGAAAAAACCTCTCACCCTGTAGCTCCTGTCTGCCTAAAGATTTGCGTGTGCAGAAAAATACCAGGCATGGGCACGTGGAAGGCAGGGTAAGAACAGCTTTAGCTCGTGTTCCCCTTTTCTTTTACCCTGAAGAATTTCCTCCAGGACTGCAGGAGCAGGGAATCTGGATTGCTTCAGTTCCCATGTCTGGGAAGCAGTTCAGGTGATTTTAGTGGTGGAAAGAAATGAGGGCATTCCAAACATGAGGAGGGAGGTGTTTCTTCAGCAAAATCTTGTTCACCTGAACAGAGATCACAGACACGAGCTTCAGCATGCTGTGCTTGACAAGAATTTGTCTTCTGAATTTCCCTGGAGGAAGGGCAGCTTTTCCATTTCCTCTGGGAAAGCAAATTTTAGGGGAAATTGGGCTCTTTCAGAAGCTCTAACAATCTCACATTGTCCAGTACACAACGCAAGGGAAAAATTACCTTTCCTTGAATAGGTCTTTGAAATTCCTGGCTTTTCTCTAGATCCATCTTCTGTTCATCAGAAGAAAACACGAGATAGTAGCCATTTGTAACTCTGAGGCTTATTCCACATATTAGGGAATGGAGCTCCCCAGAGTAGGAGCACACAGCTCTTGAATTTGCCCTCTGGTGCCAAGCACTGCTCTGCTCATCCTGCTGCAATGAGTGGGGACTTTGGCAGGAGCAGTGTGGACCTGGCAGCAAGGGCAGAATGGGTAGAAGGAGTACTGGAGCCCTCTGAACTCAGTAATGCTCTCTGTTAAACATCTCCTGTCACCCTTCAGAGGTGGAATGGACTTCAAGTGAAAGGATCATGTTTGAAGTCAGAGCTGGCATTTATGCATTTTGTTGATTTTGGGATGAAATCACCCAAGCTGTGTTTTAAATAATATTTTTTTTTAAGTTTATACATTAATTAGTTTTGGGAACGAGGGAGCAAAGTGTTGTCCCACTTGGACTGATCCATTTTGTCAGATTTTAGGCAGAGATTGCAGTGAGCCCAGCCTGCAGTGCTGGGAGCTGTGGCTGTGGTGATGGCCCTGACCCAGATGCTGTGAGTGCATGACAGCAATGGCATAAGCTCCCCACCCTGAGCCAGGGTGCTGAACTCTCTGGAGCAGCCCCAGGGCATTATCTTGGTGGCAAAATTAGGTCAGGAATGGAATGGAATTCTATTTTTTTATTATCTGTGCTCTTATTTAAAATTGCAAGTAACTGTAACATTCGTTAAGTAATTACAGCCAATAGAACATCTAGACCTCCAGGCCGCTCTTAACCTCTGCAAACCTCTGCTCATTCTTCCCAAAGTATTGTTTTGATTTTTAAAAACAGGCCAGCTGTCATTGCTACTGTAAAGGTAAAGGGAACAGTAACCTGCACTGCTCCTCAGCCCTTCTTAGTCACGGTGAGAGTCTTTGTTTCTTAATACTTTAATTCCAAAGAGTCAGACACCTTGACAGGCTCTTTTTTTTTTATCTCCCACCTCTTTTGACCTCCTCTGAAAAGCAGCAACTCAGACATAATGATACAACCCCACATTTGGAAGCAGACTGGGGGAAATACGACTGTGACTGGAACTGGCAGTCATTTCCAGGCCACCTTGTTAAGTAGCCAGTGCAGGGAGAGAAACTGTCCCAGGACATTTTAGCAATTGGGTCAGTCTTGGGAAAACCCTCACAGCTTGTCCAGTATCAGCCTCCAAAACTTCTCTGTGGCCAGTGAATAACAGACTGGTTCTGAAAAAGGGGTGGAATTGGCCAGAGGGGCATTGGGGATGGTGTGAGTTCCTGCTGTCAAAATTACCATCCCTGTGCCCACAGCAACCTGAGCACCTTCAGCTTTCTCTGCAGTCAGTAGGGGAAAGGAGGATTTAAACAGTGGATCTTCTAGTACAGTAATTTTGAGATGCTTAATATTTAAGAAGAAAACCCTGTTAGTAATCAAAGCAGTCTAAATAGTTTTCCATAAAGATTTGGGGTCTCTGTCTTCTCCTGACTTCTACCAGGCATTGCCATGATTTTCCTTTTAATTTACTCAGGGTTTTAACAAATGAAACAAATTATTCCAGAATTCCCTCAGCTGTTTTGCAGCCTCCTGGTGTGCAAGAAGGGGTTTGGTTCCTTCAGGGGAAGGGCTCTGTGTGCTTGGTACCCCTGCTTTGAGGAAACTGGTATGTTGTAGGTGATGCTGGAGATCCCCAAATGTGTGTGGCACTACCTGTTTATTTCTAGTACTTCTGCTTTGACAGCATTAATGCTGCATTTCAGCAGGATCAACTTTATATTTTGTAAGGTGGGAAAGAGCCCTGTTGCCCTGGGAAAGCCCACTTCATGCAGAAATTACAAAATTGCTGCACTGCAACAACACCCCACATTGCTGAAAATGTTTTTTCTTAGGTAATTTCAAATAAATGGGATTATTTTTTAAGCAAAAGGGCAACTCAACATGCTTTTACTGGTCGGAAAAGGAAATAATTGGATTTCCTTCCAAATGCAGGGGCTCGTTGTCCAGAGAGCAGCTCTGAGAAACAAAGATTAGGTTTGCTTGTTTCAAGAGGCAAATGTTTAACTCCTGTGGGTTTTCTGATGCTAAAGCAACTGCCCTTTGTTTTTCTGTCTTTTAGCAACTTCAGTCCCAGGCCCGTGCCCTGATCATGTTTGCTGGGATGATCCCCTACAGGACCTCAGGAGACACAAACGCCAGACTGGTGCAGATGGAGATCCTTATGAATTAGCAGAGCAGCTCTGGCTCGGGGCTGCAGCAGCCTGTGCCTGTCCTTAGTACGTTCAGAGGGCCCCTGGGGACCAGTGTCATTTTGTATTCTGTATTTTTGTTGATGGAAATAAATTTCTTTGGTTTTGATATTTGTTTTTGACATTTTCATTTTCACCGATTCTTGTGGTTTTATGTTTTTTTTTTGTTAATTTTATTTTCAATTGGTTTTGCTTTTAGAAATTTATTCTTAATTAGTTAATGGGCTGCGCAGAGGGAGAAGTCATAGCTCTGCAGCAGTGGGGTGAATGAACGAGCAGTTTTATATCAGAAGAGGAAGTGGAGAAGAAAACTTTGATTTAATGGTTAATGAACATACAGCTGGGAACCTTTAGGGGTTTTTTTGGGTTTTGAATGCATGTTAAGTGTTGAAAATGTGTCGCTGGTGCACCACCCACCCCGTGAGCTGCCATCAGTCCATCACCCTGTCCTGTGTGCTGCATGTGTTGCTGCAGTGCAGGGGAGCTCTGCAGGGGCTCCTTCATCCTGAGCAAGGGTGAACTCCCGGGTCCATGTCCCAGGTGCCTCAGTTCTGCACATCCTGGAGCTCTGCTGAAGCTTGGCAGGAGCACCTGGGTTGCAAACAGGTGTATTTTGGTAGGAGAGGTTTTTGTGAGCAGCACATGAGTTTTCAGTCAGGTGCATTCCAAGTGGTCCCCTGGAGAGTTCACCTGGAGAAGAGAGGTCCAGGTGTGGGGGTGACATTACTGTTGGTTTAGTGGGAAACCAGAGTCCCACTGAAGCATGGAGCTTTAAAAATGGTTACCTTTAAATGTTTTAAGGTACAATTAAATAAGTGTGAAAGCCCAGGGAGCATGTTATAGTAGAAGCTTTTCTTTTTTAATATAGCTGCCTGTCTTTGGAATGAAATGTGAGCAATGTTGGTGGTTACTCTTGCTGCTCCCTGTGCCTGTGCTGCTCCCCTGCTGCTGTCTCACCCTCCTGTGTTAGGGGATATAGAACATGTGCAGTTTGGGATGCAGAACAGGCAGCAAAATGTAGGGGCTGCTTTCAGCCTTTGTGTGTTAACAGCTGTCACGGGAGAGAATTCATCCTCATTTTGCAATGTCTAAGTTGACTGACTTGATGACAATTTCCTAATTACTTTTTCCACCAGAAATGTTGTAGCATAAATTTTGTCCACCTTTTGGACAGGAAGCAGCCCATGTCTCTCAGCATTAGCAGCCCAGCTGCTGGGACCCCCAGCAGATAGAGGTAGGGATTGTGTCTGACACAGAGTGCTCCTGCAGCATGGCCAGGATTGTTCCAACCTGAGGCTGAGAGAGACCTGGACAACCCCTGCGAGTCTGGGGGAGTTGGTGAGTTACCAAGGAGTCATTTGGGGCTGGGAGGTGGAACTGCCTAACACCCTGTCAACAGGTGAGTGTGGAAAGCTGTATTAGCTGTTAACATTCCTGGGATATTTGTGTGGGAATGCTTCTTGGCATGTCTCAATTGACAATTGATCCAGTCCCTGAGAGAACAGGCACCATCCCTGATGCTTGTGGGCATTCCTGGTGGGGCCAGGGCTGCCACACACACGGTCCTGCAGGATGACTCTGCTCCTGTGTTTTCCTGGCTGGTGTTCAGCCCCTGTCCCTGGGTCACTCCCAGCACCAAACCAGCTCATGTACAGAGAGTCTGGCAAGTCTGTTCCTGTCCTCAGGCAACCACTGACCTGAGCAGGAGAGGGACAGCATCTGCTGGAGTCGGGAAGGGTGAAGGCCACCTTCCCTACTGGAATTCCCTGTCCCTGCTCTGCTGTTCCTGTGGGGACAAAGGTCCTTTGGGGCTCAGCTCTTAACATTACCATTTGCAGGACCTTGTTCTCCTGTCCATCCCCTGCTGAGCAGAGTGGTTGTGCTGCCTCACTGGCATGTTCTGATGTCCAGAGTTGAACCTGAGGACCTCCTGTAAGCAAGAAGGTGTTTGCTGTGAGAGCTGTGACACCCTGTGCTGGTGGGGGTGCAGCAGAGCCTCCAGGTCTGTGTTCCACAGATTTCGTGGCTCTTCAGTTCTGAAACATCCACGTGTGCTGTGGTGTCAGCACAGCAGCTCCTGCAGCTTTACAGGCTGCACCTCCTTCCAGGAACAAGGGCTGAGTGATGTGGTCTGGATTTGCAGGGGATGTGCTGTAAACTTCTGCCCTACTTACCTGTCAGTAGGGAAAAAATTTGTTAAAGCTCTACCCAGGGTTAACCTGGTAATAAGTAGACTGAGCTAAGGCAAGACAACCCATGTGACACTGCTGAAACGTGCCTCGAGGGCCTCCTGAACACTGTCAGGGAGCTGGTGTCCATGGGTCCTGCCTTCTCAGCCGTTTCTGTGAGGCTGAGAATTCTTTTAAGTATTTTATGTAAGCAGGGTACTGCTTACAGCCTGTGGGTTACATTCCTGCTTCTCTGCCTTGCCTTGGATTTCCCCACTGAATGCAGATTCTGCATCTCAACATGATGTTTTGTTGTGTTTTTCAGACCCTCTGGCTGGAGCAGACCTGCTAAATGAGGTGACTTCTCTGTTCTCCACTGCTATCACTGCTGTGTTTGTCTAAGACAAACATTGTTGCTTTCAGGAGCTGAAGGAACTGTGTTCAGAAAAAGTGACCCCAGCCCCTCAAGGAAGGAAGCTGTTTTCCTTCCAGCCTGGAGGAAGGAAGGGGATATTGCTAATTGCAGCTCTGTGTCCCTGGCATGGGACAGCACTCAAATACTGCCACTGTTCATGTCCCTGTGTCAGCATTTTTGTGCTTTCTCTCTGGGTCTGAAGTTGGAAGGATGGGAGTGGTGTCTGGAAGAGATGGGAGATGCACCCTTTGGTCCCATTGGGAAAGGCTTTTGGCAGTTGGCTGAATAACCATCTGTTTTCTCTTCCCAGGCTTCCTTTGCTGCAGTGCTGAGGAATTGGGTCCTGCTCTGCAGGTGGGTTTGCAGCACTGACCCCAGCACCGTCTGTGACCTCTGTCACTCTGGTAGGTTCCCTCTGCCATGGGGATGGAAACAGGAAATTAAAACTTCATTAAAGCCTGCTGGAATATAGCACTTGGGCAATCTTTAAGAGAAGCTGTGTGTAAAGCATTGCACCATTCTCTGCTTAACTGGGCTTGGGTTCCTTTGATGCATTTAATAGCCAGAACGAACTGGGGGATCGGCTGGAAGTGAGGGAAAGCCCTGCTGAAACAACTTGGAGCCTCTTCCCTGTGTGTGGAGGGGCTGGAGGGATGTGCCACAGAGCTCTGCTCCCCTGCCCACAGCTCCCAGCACTGCACAGCCCTGGTGTTGGGCCCTGGTATTGTTGCTGCAGCTGGTGTTGTGAATCAGGCCGACGACAAGCGCATCCTACAATCCGGCTATTTCACTACACCAGGGTTGCATCATACCACTCTCTTCACTCTGCACCCGGCGTCCTGGAACCCTCCTGTCTCTTCTGGAGCATCCCTGACCCACTTCAGAGACTGATCTGTGCTGGTTTGGGCAAATTAGTGTTCTTGATGAACTAACGAGGTTCTAAAATAAAGCCACTTCTCGCAGGTGTGAGTCTGCTGCCACGTCTGTTGTGAGAGGGAGCTGGTGTCCACTTTGTAGGAGGTGTTGCACAAGGTGCTGGAGTGACTTTTCCTCATCCAGCTTGCCCTTGTCCCTGCTGGCCAGGCTGGCTGCCCACACGGCACGGGCACAGCTTTGCACTGGGTGCTGGAGCACTGTGAGGGCCGACACGGGATGCAGGCCAGGCTGCCTGTCCTCAGCTTGCCGGGTAAGTGGGTGCACCCTGGCCCTTGGTGATTGTGGCTGGCATCTGCTCAGCACAAACAATGCAAGGGGGCTGGAGCAAGTCCTCAAAAAGCAGGTTAAAATTTGTGTGTGAATGCAAACACAGCCAGAGGCAGAAGGGGGGGGCAGGCCCAATTTTCCATTAACTTGCAAAGCCACACCAAGCTGAAATTCAAATGGGCTGCCCTCGAATTTTATTGCTGGCCTTGTTTGCTGTCTCTGCTGATCTTATCTGTAACTGCTTTTGAGGCACATGTGACAGGGGCTGCAGAGGTGTAAGAGGTGCCCATCCCTCCCCCTGTCCTCACCTGTTGGGGCTGTGGGGTGAATGCTGAGCGGCCTCACGGCCTCAGATCATGTTTTGTGTGATGTGGGCGAGTGTTTAAGTGGCTTATTAAATCAGAGATGTGACTGGGAGAGTTCTGAACGTCGGGTGGTAGCTCAGTAGTGCCCCCTCCCTGGGTCGGGAGGGGAAGGGGGCTCTGGGTCCGTGGGTGTCTGTGCTGCCCAGCACGGCAGAGCTGCCAGCTCCCAGCCCTGGGCAAGCACAGACAGACTGTCTGCCACTGTCGGTGCACCCTGGCCTCTCCATCCCCCTGGCAGCTGAGTCCCAGCAGGGGCAGCTCTCACATCCCTTGATGTCACACTCCCCCCTTTCCCTGGTTTCACTGGGAGATAAAGGGGCCGTTCCCGTCCCGCATCCGGCCCAGCTCAGTGCCAGAGGCAGCAGCTTGGAGGCCAGCCAGGATGGTTTACGGGATCTGACGGGGCTGGGGCAGTATCCCAGGGAAGGGCGAGGGTGCGTGGGAGTCTTGCTCCCTTTTTCCATAATAAATCCCTGTGGGAACTGAATGTTCCCGGGTCGGGGCCAGAGGCAAACTCAACGCCGCGTTTCTCTGCCGATCTGTCCTTGGGACTTAATCTCAAATCTGTTATCGCTGCCCCCATCGAGTGCTGGGAGGCACTGATGCCCATTACGGTGGTTTTGGTGTCCCTTCCAGCTATTTTTTTTCCTCCTGACCAGCTCGAGGTGGTTCGAGCCGACTCCTTTCCTCCATTAGCATCAGTGGTGGGTGTGTGCCGGTCGCCTCACTCCGGTTTTGCGGGGTATAAAGCAGGCGAGCCCCTCTCCACGCCCTGGCAGCCACCTGGGGCAGGGGCCATGGCCGAGCTGCCACCCCCAGCCCTGCCCCCGGCCCGCTGCAGCGGCCGCTTCACCATCAGCACCCTCCTGGCCATGGAGGAGGGGGCCCGGGGTCCCTTCGGCCCCGCCGAGGGGCCCGGCTGTGACAGTGCCCAGCCCTCCCTCTGCGGCAGCACCCT